ACGAAGGCTTCTTCCGAGCAATGCGTCTGCTATAACCTCCTTTTTTGAGTGCATTAGAAATTAAACGTTCACTGCATCCTCAGTGGCTGTAAGGCCCCATTGTTAGTTCCAAATAGCACATCTGTCGATTTTCAGAAGATTCCCGGACGAAAGCCTCAAGCTTATCAACTTGTTCCGCGGTTAATTTAGGTGAGCATTTGTTGCGAGGCTTAGGATTCTCAGTCTCTCGAGCACACGCAAGTTGCAATTGCCTTCTTGTGAAGCTAAGTTCGTCGGATATATGTTGTAATGTCAAGGCAAGTCTTCTTAATGCTCTTATTTCAATACACTGATCGCGAGTTTGATGCTTGCGAACAATAGTTTCTGAAGCAGACTTCTCGAGAGACATTGTTTGCCGGAATAGAGGATGAATTATTAGTGGTGTTAAGATTCAGGGACTGTTTAGGTTATGCAGCCAAAAATGTCGTTGAAAATGTGTTTTTTTTACCGAATGTTACGAGAAGACGATTGGACAATACATCATGGCGAGCGGGGTAATGAGGTGAGACATACTAACCTATTACGAGCCAGCCCAACTGCGCCTACAGGGCTAATCCGTTAAACATCCCAGTTTCGAGGTCAACATTTTGGAACCTAGAGGCACTGTAAGACCTTCCCTCTAGAATTAGTTAGTCTCTCTTGTACGTAAAAAATAGACAGTATTTGGACTTCATACCCTTGCTTCATCTCGTTGTCGAAGCCCTTCCACATTGCAAATGGGAAATCGCCCCATCAAAAATTGGCAATACTCCACTTAAAAGTTGTGATAATTTGTACATCCGCCGTAGGAAACAAATCTTGGCGCACAAATATGGGAGACAGCTCTTTGGAATTGACGTGAGAGAAATCAAGACACGTTTACGAGATGATTTGAAGTAAGGATACAATCTCGACGGGGGTTAATTTTGGAATTTTGGCAAGGAGATTTATAAATTGATGAGCTTCCAGCGCGCCATTACTTCGATTGCGAGAGTGGTAAGGAGAATTCGGTCGGAAACTTTGTTCAAGGCAGAACAGCACTGTCTGCATGGCGGCTGAAAAGTGGAAGGTAGAGAGCGCCTGTGCTGGAAACTGTGCTCGGATCAAGAGTCTGGCGTCTGTTCCAGGAGTAGCTCCAGGAGGATGGAATATACGCGTTGGCTAGATTGAGGATGGTGGGTATACCTACGACTGGAAGGTCATAGATCGATATTTTTTTGATTCATTGAGTGTAATCAGCTTATTTAGCTATGACATTGTATACATAAATTCAAACATTGATATCAAAGTACTCTAATTCAATCTAACACTAATCCTCACTTCTTAAATCTGTATCATTCTTTCAGGCCAATCAGTAGTTTCTGTAAAAGGGTCACAATTTTATTTCTATCCCTCTTTCTCCTTACCTCATGAAAGGCAGTTGGATGTTGAGATGTATCTGAGCAGTGAATTCTTTCCAACTGTTGTGTTGAATAATACTTGCAGTGTTAGTGGAATTATATCTATAATATCTTTCTTTCTCCTTCCCTTCAATTATGAGTAGTGGAGTATCAAATGCTGGGTGGTTTGAATAACCTTTCAACAATAGTTGCATATGTTAGTATCAGTTTTTCCAATCTTCTTCATAAACGCAAGTGTGTCCCCTATTCCAGTTTTAACTTGGAAGTAAGCTGACTGGGATTTTCGGTATTATTTATTGAAGTTGAATGGCTCTAGTCTAAAATGTGGAATGGAGCGCTCGGCCTAAGTGCGATAGAACTTCCAAAGAGTAATTGCCTTCTTTTATTGTACATCACGCAATAGCGGTGGTGTCCAGTCTTTGCACCAGGCATCTTTGATGAGCTTCATAGTCTTTTATTTCAGAGAGCACTGTGTTCACAGATGGATAGCCTGGGTGGTTTGGCATAGACATAGAGATTTCAATCGAGGCTTGGGTCCGTGCTGGCCGAGGCAGAATGCTGGAAGGTATATGCATTACTATTTTCTTTTGTAATGCGAGATTCAGCGTGGAAGTTTTCTTTATTATGATTGTGGGCTACAGGATTCGTCATGATTCGATACTAAGAAGCGTTTCGGCATGGTTCCGATCATTCAGGTGGAACGAGGTGTTTGTACTTCACGGAAGTTAACCTGATCCGGCTCGGCCACACTAAGGCTTAAGCTCCAGTTAGAGTGTCATGGTTGTCACTCTGCCTAGAACACTAATATACAAACATGTATTCCTACGATGACTAGGTTTGACACGTCAACGACTTCTCATCAATCCGTACAACGACAGCTGATATTCATTGTTCCGAAGAGCAATAACTGAATACCTATCCACGGTGTCCTCTAGTAACATGCGAGTAAAATATTTCATCAAAGCAGACTTTGGTCAAAGTCGGCAACACCGAAGAAGTTGGCCTACGAGGTAATGATTCAACACTTTTCACCAAATACATCTCTTACTACCAACGAGATCGACCCCCATAAAAGCCTTAATAAGTTCACAAGGACGACTCAGAACATCCTCATTTTAATGGCCACACCTCTCATCAAATATATCTGGCCTCAGCTAGGTACCAAATCTACGCCCACGAAAATACGAATGTCCGAAGGAGAAAAAAATAATGGCGCGCAAGTATGCGAGGCAGATGTTTGGAGTAGACGTGAGAGATATCAGTACATATTGGAAAGATGATGCTAAGTATGTTTACAATTTTGGGAGAGGTCAAATTTCGATGCTCAGGAAAAAATAATCACAATGATGTGCATTGTGTGCTTCAAGACCCAATTTGCGAGAAAAGAAGTGTTGGAAAATCGGTATGAGTTCGACGAGTAAGGCGGCTCAAAGAATATGGGCGCGATTTTATGAATAGAATAATAATGATATGAATCGGGAGAATATGTGATATACTATGGAGAAATAAAAGATGGGTTGAATGAATTGAATTAATTAGATTAACTGTCTTGGTGATTCCTAGACAGCTTATATATATGTAATCTTGATAGACCAAATCTAGACTAGATACCATCCATCACTCGTTACATACTCTAACAATGACAATGAAACGCAAGACAGTATACAACATGAGTATGGGGTCAGGGTCGGTAGATGAAAGCCTACACGTATATCAGACCATACCATGCACTAGTCGAGTCTCAAGCATCAAGTATGCTCAGTAAGGGAGATACCAATCATCTAGGTCGTGAGACAGGCCGTAAGTCATGTGTGAGAATCTTAGTTGTTCCAATCATGGGAAACTTCATACACATAAAGTCTGAATTTCCAACAAGAAGCAACACTTTAAATACAGCGTGGGCTGGACAATGCGGTAGTATATCACCTGAGCTGGTTTCCCAAGTGGACTCCTGTTAACTTGGTAACCTGTACCACTTGAGACAGGAGACGGCTGGCTCGGATCCAGAAAAACCACACTACACTCATCTCTGTGATAATTTGCATAGATCACAAAGAAATCCTTGGATAACCAAAGGGGTAAAGCTTCACTTTGGTGGATACTCAAGGAGGAGGGCCGGCTGTTTAGTGTTAACGAACGTACCTCTCGGTGGTATTTGTGAATGAGGTCCAAAATACGAGTATCTCCAGACAAACAAAAACGTACCCTTGACATTGATCAAGTACCACAATTAGAAAGCTGGAAATTAAATAAATTTTCAAAAATAGATCAAAGCCATGTGAAATTGCACATTATTTACTCCAAGGTGGAAGCGCCGTCGTATACGGAGCTGGAATCGAAATATTAATCAGAGCAAAGAATCAGCCCTTACCTATAAGTGGATTCGAATTCATTCCCCATTAACTTTGAGTCAGGAGCTGTGTTGGCTCTTCACTATCGGTACCTTGCTCCATTGAGATTTTGAGGGCGAACAAACGAATTAAAAAGCCTATCATTTTACCACTAGGTCGCTCTGAGGATTTATTGAGCACCATTAATACCTCTCAGTACTCCACGTAATTGATAGTTACTCCCTATTATAATATCTCACTCAAGGAACATGACATGCGACCATCTTTTCGACTTTCTACCTACCAAAGGACATACCGACTAGCCTAATCAAACTTTTGCTCATGTAGATGAAATATATCTTTTAGCAGACAAATTACGAATATCTCATTTGTGAAACTAGGGATAGAGTTACAATAAAGTGTGTAAACTTAGCGGTGTTATATAGGGTTTTGGCAAGTCATGTATATCATAGATATAGATAGAGATAAAAAAGTAGGAATAATGAACGGCATATCACTCGAAAAAGGCGCAATGAACGCTATTCCCTTCATGCATTGAATCAAGACATGGGCTCTAAGCAATAGGAGAGGCTGTATAGACGATAGAGCATCACTAGTTTCGCCGACACGACGGTGAAGTCAATGTAAGCGACACATAATCTGCGTCTGTGGAATTTACTACTCTAAAATTTTTCCCAATACTACAATCATTCCATACCTAAATAAAATTGAAATCTAAGATTGCTGATCCTTTCTCTTAGGTACCAGGAGAGCTCAAGGCCGTAAGAAAAGTTAAGTGAAAGACACCTCGCGGTAAAATAAGAGGCTTAAACAATATTTTGAGCGGCTAAAGATGATAAGCTGAATCGATGTGATTTTTGAGAGATTACCAACATAGACAGTTTTTGGAACCAAAAGGATAGATTTTCGTAATGATGTGACAGTGTTACAATTTTTTAATTCATAAAGCCGGCATTACTTTGGGTTCCGAATGGAAGAGATGCACAAGCGTCAAGATTAGCTATAGACACTCGAGGTTTTGGAGGATATGTGTCTTCATTTTGTCAGTCTGATATGGAAAATAAATCCTCAGACAGAAATAATAGCGTTGTTGAATGCCACCTTCTGCAAATGTATTCCAGAATTAATGATGCAGCATATGTCTACATAGACTGTGAATGAAGTGTGACCCACTGAATGGTGGACTACTTTGATATGCACCTAGTCTGCAAGATATGAGGGTGTAAGAGAATTACGAAACAACAATTTCTGAGGCCTCATCAATAGTGCTTAACGTGTGTTTAATGACAGTTTGTATTGCACAGTCTAGATCATCAAGCGCTAAAGTCTGCTCAAGCCAGACTTTTGTAAGCTTTGAATAATTAGCTTTGTCCGATACGATCTCTATAGACTCAGTTATGCGATGCAAGCTAGTGCTAAGCGCTGCCGGAAATTCGGGTGTTTTGTGATTAAGTCCAATGAGCGGTTCTCTCGTATAACAGCTTCGTACGCTACTATCCGTTGGATAATTTTTAAGCATAAATGATACAACGTGTTGTAGAATCTTTAGAATACATTGAATCTGTGGAAAGCTAGCAAACATATTGAAGAAATCTACAGAGACCGAGGCACAGATGAATGGTTGCTCGCAGCTTTTGTCGAATATTGCCAGTGGTATAGCACCGTTGAGTGCTGGAGTGCTCATAATTTCATTTATAACGTCAGGATTAACTTTGGCACTATCCGTTGTTTCCGATTGCATGTTGTCAGGGTGGAAGTCGGGTATCGCAACTACGTCTTGAGAGGCGTCGAATGCCGAATTGCTTGTTGTACTCGCATCATATCCATTATTTTCTGAATATCCATCTCTACCTTTTTGAAGGACCTTGCTGCGGTTGGTGATTTTGGCAAGATATATCATCTCAAGTTTCGCATATTCGATCCAAATTTCGCTGTTACTTGTACAAAATCTAGTACCTCTCTGCATAAAACTTCTTGCCCCATTTATATCTGCCTCTGACTCCCAAGTATACTTGGCTGCTAAAATCCACAACTCAGGCTTTGTAGGGTGGAGACGAATCACTGAGGTCATGATAGCCCTAAATTTTTTGATTGCCTTGCATGCCCTAGTGTAGTCTAAGTATGATAGCCAGAGAGCAACATCTCCTGGGTGTTTCTTTGTGCCCCGATCAAATATCTTGAGTATTCTTGATTGCCCACCATACGCGGTGCTCTTTATGTTTAAACGTTTACACCGTTTCTTTCGCAATTCTTCAAGCCCCATCTCCCAGGCGGCATATCGAGCAAAATCTACTGGTCGTGTTCCTCTCCCAAGAATTTTGTGTTCGAAATCGGAGCGCTTCTTGACTATATTCCGAATTTCTTCTCCAGTAAATATCTTCTTCTCCTTGAATTCCTGTAGTTGGGGAACTGACCGTTCGAGGTAAAAACGAGCCTTGTCACTCGGTCCTGACATGATGGTTGGTTATAATAGGGTCAAGGAACTGCAAGATTTGCGACAATTTAGGCAAAAATCTCAAGGTCTGGACTGGCGTTGGATGACATTATGCGGAACAACGATATTCCGCTGGATGTCCAATCTAATTCTAATCGTAAAATTGATCAGTTTACACCATAAATCTGAAGTTATCAACCCTTGATTGACGACGATTACTGGATTAACTAAATTTATAGTTGGTTTGTGTTTTACAGTGCTGCATGAATCTAAGATTCACTAGCACATTGGGCTCCTCTCTGACTCAGGCCACACCTTGTATAGTGCTCCTTGCCTCTTATGTTTCTTGAAAAATCATTGGTATATTGATCTTGATGAATAGTCATTCAGCTCACTATATGCCCGTGGAATTCGGCTACATTTTCCGCGGAACTTTCTACCCAAAAATAAAAATAAAATAAAAATATGGTAGCAATGCAAACTGCATGCGCGGGAAAAAGTCTCACAAAACCTACAGCCCCAGCCAGGCAAGGCCTAGACACCGGGACCACATAAGGTGCGAATATTCATCTATATGTCCCATTTTTGTAACATTCGAGGCCGACTTGATCCAATCCACCATCGCCGTATCGGATGCTGGGTACGCTCCGGAAACTCATCGGAAGGCTTCTCCTCCATGATCAAGGGTTGGTGATGAGAAGGGCTCCAACCCTACCATCTGACCTGATCGTGGTTAGCTTCATGATAATGGTGATAGGGGAATGTGTTGAGAGATGAAGACGATACAGACGGCGAAAGCGATTGGGAATCCTCGTCAGCGGGGGCATCGTTACTCAATCTCGGCTCTGCAGACTCTACAGTGAGAGCTGAAGGTTCATAGGGGAAATCATTGACAGGTGTTGTGGTTGGATACAGATGGTATCAATGCTTTGGCGGCGTTCGTAGATGGAGATATACATATACATATCCTAATCAGCCACTACTTCTGCAGCAGCAACCCCATCCTCATCACCGATGATGTCACAGAGATTGACCCTATCATACTAACAGGGACAGAGTAAAAGATTCTGTATGGTTTAGTAAACTGATGAGAACAAGATTGTCTCTTGATATGATGGTAATATAATTGCTTCGATTTGGATATTATCTTTATTTGATTATGATTTATATATATTTTCAATTTGAATTTGAATTCATTCAGCCCGATTTGGCGCCTTGAGGCCCATACAGGTGTTTACGAACTCTTATATTTATATAGGAGAAAAACTATGTGGTAAAACCCCCTCGCTTTTTCAATTTGTATATATTTTAATGTTGTGTTAATTTCACGAAGTGCACTAACACTGTTATGTCCAGTGCGGACACCGCCCACTTCTCTGTTACTGGCAGGAGATCATCTTTCCCCTACTCTCCTCTCTCTCCCTCATCGTGGCCTCAACTTCAAGCGTCAGTCGAAACTGTTCCAATCTCCCTTCATGTTAAATCCACTTCGTAATTCTTGCCACATCTTTCGAGCTATTCATCATTGCCTCAAATGACCGAGACTGCGTTTCTCAGTATCTCCCTTCCCCCTTTGGCCCAATTGGAGCAAGCCATGATCATATGCTTGACGTTCTGAGACGGATATCCACATTGGCATCGTGAGCTGTCTACTCAGAGAACATGTCTTCAGTACAGATTAAAGTTAATCCCAATATTCTTACTTCTTATCTGCATTGATATGCTACTTTGGGTCCTGTTAAGGTTTTTAATTTATTTTTATTGTCAACGGGCGAAAACGAACGCTATTTTTCGACAATTGCTTGACCCCTCTTTACCAGTATTCCTATGCTACATCACATGATATGGGAAAGTGCTCATCTCAAGGTATGTCGAATGATCAACGTTAGATTAAATTAGGAATGACGGGTAGGCCCTTGCTAAATAGGTCTGCAAGTCGGAAATTGACGTGACGATACATAATCTATCATGATGTCATTGATAATAAATCTCAGATAAGAATCAACTTGTTACTGACTTTGAATATGACATGCAGACTGATTTGATAAGTATCCGGATGGATTAACAATTTTTGATGAACCACAGAGTCAAGATATTTTAAAAGAACCGATGAAGAAAATTTAATCATGAAAAGCAACGATGTCGCAAATCGCAAAGCCGTTGGGAGTGACTCGTATAGAGTCAACTCAACACCGGAAACCCCAAGGCCTGAGCCAAAGTCTCAACAGCTTCGTCTTCGAGAACTTGAATTGGATCAAGTACGGGAACATTTTCTGCTGAGAGAAACGTGCCTCACTAATCAAACTTTAATGCGATTTGAGCTTAAACCAAGCGACCCTGACTTTCCATATGAGATAGAGGCTCTAGATTGCGAAATATCTGTTCCTACTACTTATCCTCAAAGCAGGCCCGGCTTAAAAGTTTTAAACAAGGAGATTCCTCGAGGATTTGTCCTAAATTTAGAGATTGGATTCCAGAGTATAGCACAAGAAATGTTTCATGCAACAGTAGTGGAAATTTTAGGAGCCTTCGACAAACGTCTTGAAGCTCTGCTATCTGCTCCTGAACAGGAAGCTTTAAAGTTTATTTCAAATCACGATAGGCGCCATTTATCTATTCCATCAAAGTCTTCAAATTCCTCTACCATCTCTATCCCATGTAATCATGTTGATCAATTAATTGTAGTATCATCTGTAAAGCAGAGTTCTAATCCCCATCCTTGCGAAGAATGGCAGACTTTTACGACTGAGCAGAAACTAGAAGCATTCGGACGAAGAGAAAGTGAAAGGAAAAAATTGGAGGCACGAATGGGACGCCTCCCATTGTATAAAAAGTCGACCGATGGTTGTAGTTACACGATTCCGGTTGAGCCAAGAAAACGAATGGAACTACCTAAACCCTTACAGAATATCAAAACCTTGCAATTGGTGGTGCCATCCTTATATCCACTCGAGCCTTGTAAGATCCAGTTTGATGGGATTGATGCAAAAGAGGCGAGAAACGCCGAAACTGGGTTTCTTCAGAGATCAAAGCATCAAAAAGATCTAAGCCTAATGGGTCACGTTGAGTATATTGCACAAAATTTGAACATCCTTGCGAAAACATTATGGCAGGTGGATTCAGCAACCACATTACTTTCACCTTTGGAAACAGAAAAAAAAGTAGATGATCAAGAGGATAACGGCAGAGGATGCCGGAAAGCTCTGCAAACTGATCGACCTCCCGAGTGGGCATTGCTAGATTCTACAGCTTTAGATCCTATACGTGGTGTAGAATTAAACAGAGCTTACTCGTACGACTCAGAAGATATAAGTTCAGGTGAGGATGAAAAAATACTCGATATCAAACAGGTAAACGACTCACAAGTAACATTAAATCAAGAAAGAGGAACTGCAATTATATTCCCGTTCATTGAATTCAATGGGATCGAGCTTCTTGAACTCCTAATCCTGGAAATAACTATCAAATGTGTGAGATGCAAGGTTACGACAGAAGTTAAAGAGTTAAAAGACTGTATGACTAAGAAAATAAGTTGTAAAAAATGTAAGCAGTGTTTGGCTGTTAGATACAGGAAAAATATCATGCATAAGAAAAATGATCGAGCGGGTTTCCTAGATCTACAGGCCTGCACCGTAGACCACATTTTACCTAGGTAAATAGATTACTGGTCTAGCTCCTGTATTTACGCTAATGTTAACCAGTCATTTCTTACCTACATGTGCTCAATGCTTGACTCCTTACACTGGACAAGCTATTGTATCCGTACCCGGCGAGAAAGTATCGAACATATGTCACAATTGTCATCAAAAATTCACTTTTAAATTTCCTTCAGTTAGATTCCTTCGTATATCATTGGAGGCTTCATTAATAAACCCTAACGATTTAAATAATGGCTCGATATCTCGTCATATAAACGAGTCTCAGGGTCTAATCGCTGGCACTGAATTACCTTTACGAGGCTGCTGCCGACATTATTCAAAGTCATTTCGCTGGTTCCGCTTTAGCTGCTGCCAGAAAATATATGCTTGTGACAAGTGTCATGATGAAGCTGAGCAACATTTTAATGAGTGGGCTAATCGAATGGTTTGTGGATGGTGCAGCCGTGAGCAATATTTTAACCCGGAAGAATGTCGAATTTGCCGTAGAATTCTTCTTTTAAAGCGAGGGAATGGGGGTTTTTGGGAGGGTGGGAAGGGAACGAGAGATAAGACTAAAATGAATAAAAATGATAAACGAAAATATCGACATCCAGGTGGGAGCTCTAAACCCAACTCGTAATGACTTTTCGAACCTTTTGCGCTATTTCGGAATCTTCAACAATTAAGAATGGAGGTATCTGGAAGAATGGCTTGCACAGTAGCTTTCAACTGAAGTGTGTGTAAAAGGATGTAATTGGCCATCTGTTCATTCCCCATCACTACTCTCACTTGTATATCTTCTAGCGTAGATAAATCTAATACCTAACAAGGGATGATAATATCTAGGGATAACTCTTTTACACGACAAGACAAAATCCAAATACATTTTAGCCTAGTTAAAATGCCAAAACCAGCATATGCTAGTAAAATATGCCAGTTACTAAGAAGCCGAGTATTGTCTAGCTGAAAATTACTGAAAACCCCAGTGTTTTCGTATTACGGCTACTGAATGAGTTAGTCACTAGCTTATAATGTTATTATAATAATTATATCGCAATCATGTTTGATAAAAATAATTTACATGAATTACGAGACATTAATCAAGGAATATGGATTTCATGAGATTTTCTCATTGTTTGGTAGCTTTGATCAGTAGTTTTGATACTCTTCCCTAAACATTCATTAGATATTTTTAAATGTTAGCCAAAACAAAGCGCGACTTTAAATATTTATCACCCTACCCTGTTTACTTGAACGGTAGAATTCTCCTGGGTTTTAGGCTTAGCATGTTTTTCATTTCCTGGTTATTATGCGAAACTACCTTTTAGACTGATAGCTACGGAGCATAGTTGGAATTTGGGGTTCACGATCCAGTCAGGTGCTCTTTCACTGCGTTGAAAGAGGGCGGCTCTACTTCAAGTTTTCGTTTGATTTAATTTTACCCGATTGAGTGCCATGTGTCGGCGTAGATGTCTATCAAAGTCTCTAATTTTCAAGAGAAAATCTTGTGATGAAAGCCCCTTGGCTATCTGGTTTAATTCTGCGCCATTATTGATTTACTTTTAGGAAGTAAGCTTACGCTTTTACTACCAGTATATACTCCGTCTCTGTCCTATTCTGCCTGTTTTCCCTCTCTACCTGAGCTTAGCCTCGATTTCTCTAATCAGTCGAGACTGCTCTAGCTATCCTTCCCACTGAATTCACGTGCAATTCTAGCCATATGTTTGGCATTACTTAACATAGTTCCCAAAGATCGGCCTGTCGATTTTCGCAGCATCGCACGCCTTACATTGGCCCATTTTTGACCGAGTATTACCGCGTACGTTACACTTCGGGATGGATATCTAAGCTTAGACCGCAGCTTCTCCGCCCCTGGACTTTTTCTTCGGCATATGTGAGCTTCGAGCCCAACACGCTCTTACCGAATCACAACACTACTCCGGGCTCCGCTGAGGTCTCGGTAGGTTCGAAAAGAGGTGTCTCTCTACTTTATGAGTCTTAGTTTTCTTATTGTTGAACGACCTGGTGTTGGAAAATCTGACCTTAGAATTTAGAATTCACTAGTTGTCGGTTTCGCAGAAGGTCCCAGACAAGATCTACCCTCTTTAAATGCTTGGGTGTACCTTGTCTCACCGTGGTGGATGAGAGCTAGTTGTTCATTACTAAGTTTGACAGGAACCTAGGACTAGTGGAGGTTTATCCCATGGATGTATAAATCCAATGATTCCATAGTTGTAAAATATCAAGTTTTCTTTACTGTATCATTATATGTCTGTAGAATATCGTGTAGAGTAGTTTTTCGACAGTCGGCTATTTTCCATCTATCAAGAACCATTTGTACTCGGAGACCTGAGCAGTGCTCCACCTGCTTGGTTCAAGGTGTCACGGGTTTACTTACTATCGCTTCTCTGGGCCGGCCTGCATGGCCAGCTGTAGTGGTTGTGAGAAACGTGGAGGTTATATTGTGAAGTGTTGAGGTGCAGATGATGTTGCTAGCTGTGGGTGACAGTGAATAGATTCATAAGTTACCGTACTGTAGAGTTGTGAATAGAAGGTGTAAAAGACCTGTGTCCTCTTATTGTGGCTATACTTATGGAATTACATACATGCTTGCCTGACCAATACACTGATATCTATGCCGTGGCCTTGAGCCGCACGCGATACCTTAGCTTCGACTACTTAGTGTTAGAGAGAGGTAGTTCTTTTATACTACTTGAGTCTTAGAGTATCTAGCACATTAGGCTCCTCTCTGGCCCAGGCTACACCTTGTACAGTGCTCCTTACCTCTCATGTTTCTTGAAAGATCATTGATATATTGCCCGTGATGAATAGTCATTCAGCTCACTATATGCCCGTGGAATTCGGCTACATTTTCCACGGAGCCTTCTACCCAAAAAAATAAAAATATGGTAGCGATGGAAACTGCGTGCGCGGGAAAAAGTCTCACAAAACCTACAGCCCCAGCCAGGCAAGGCCTAGACACCGGGACCACATAAGGTGCGAATATTCATCTATATGTCCCATTTTTGTAACATTCGAGGCCGACTTGATCCAATCCACCATCGCCGTATCGGATGCTGGGTACGCTCCGGAAACTAATCGGGAGGCTTCTCCTCCATGATCAAGGGTAGGTGATGAGTAGGGCTCCGACCCTACCATTTGATCTGATCGTGGTTAGCTTCATGATGGTGGTGATAGGGGAATGTGTTGAGAGATGACAACGATACAGATCACGAAAGCGATTGGGAATCCTCTTCAAAATGAGGACTTTGTTGCTCAATCTCGGCTCTGCAGACTCAATAGTGAGAGCTGGAGGTTCGTAGGGGACACCACTGACAGGTGTTGAGAATAGTCTCCTACTTCGTGTTTGAAAATATTCTCTATATGTCGGAGAACCATTCAGCTTGCATTTCACTAAGAATGGTGCACATCTCTGTTGCTGAGTCATTATCGTGATGACTCAGCCAATACCACGAACTAAACGTTCGCGATGTTCTTAGTTAGAGAGATGACGAAATGCATAACTCACCTTCGTACCTCTCGTCTTGCAATGAACTAACCTTACATATACGTAAATTAAGGCCGATTGACATTGTACGATATTATATAGTTATAGTTGATGAAGTAAAGAAGACTTGATATTTTACAACTATGGGAACGTTAGAGCTATAATAGTCATAGACTTTACAGGAAAATAAACGCATTGAACCACAACAACATTGGACTTATATATACATTAGAGGCTGAAATTCCCACTGGCCTCTTGTGCCTGTCAAACCTAGTGATGACCAGCCACCTCTCATCCACCATGATAAGTCAAGATACATTGTAGTACGTAAATATCCAAACGTATGTGTAACAGTAAGTGCGATTAGCGCACTCGGGACATTTGTAGAGAGTGTCGATTTTGTCGGGAATCTCATACGAAACAGATAAAGAGTGAGCCCTGTATTCTAGAGACAGAATTTCCTACACTTCGTCGTCTTAGATCCCTACACCAGCCATGTATGTTCACAGTATTTGAGAAGAAACTCAGCACTTCGCAGTGAAGTAGACCCATTGAGAGGAGCCCAGCGTGCCAGATAGTCATAGATTCAAGAGGTACATTAAACCAAAACAATCACAATCACACGGAGGACAAAGACTGAACACCTATCCGCGGTGTACTCTGTGAATCTGTGGGTGGAATATTCTCCAAGAGCCAAGTTCGGTCAAAGATAGCAATAACTCAGTACTATCACCAAATACATCTCTCACTCCCAACGAGATCAATCTCAATGTAAGCATCATCACGTTTACAAGTATGATCTTGCATATACTTCAATTAAAATACCTCTCGACTCTTCACCGGCCTCAGCTGGCCGTCAAATACTCGGCTACACTGGCATTTTTACTCGATGGAGAAAACTGAGCGTGAAGCACAAACGCAGGAGGCAGTTCTTGAGAATTAACGTGGGGGGAAAATAGGAAAGGTTTAAGAGATGAATAGTGATCACACTTAATTTGAATGGCTTCTGTTGTGTGCTGCATCCAGAACCATGCTACACGTGATGTTGGAAAGGCCTAATTAGGTAAGATAGTCGTGGCCCAGGCGAACGAGAGTATCACACGTGTGCCAGTTAGACATCGAGGAATGAATCACTATCGAGCCACTGAGTTGCAACGTATTGATTTTGATTCGTATGATAAATTACCGTATCATTTGGACCGGAATCTGATATTCATCAACTAGCTTTACACATTGAGCTTTGTGCGCGCCAAGAGTTCGCTTGCGAGAGTGCAGCTGACACTATAAAAACAAGCCAATGATGGAAAATGCCGCAGTTCGCCTCCTGGATGTGCTTTTCTGATATAGTTTGAGTAGCCTAGGCACTTTTTCCACTTGGAAAGGAGGCACTTCACATCACGTTTCGCGCGGAGAAAAGTCAATGGATCATGGAGGCATGTCTGGATAACTAATAGTTTTGAGATATTTTCCGGAGTGTGTATTCACGGATGAGCAACGACTAGGGGTGAAGAAAAAACCACCATAACTTCGCAGTGGTACTTGCAAATAAAATCCGAGGTATGGGTGCTCTAGTTGTACTTAAGTCGTCTAATGTGGACATTTTCTCTGATATTGTGTCATAGCTACCTAGCTGCACACGCAATTCAAATCTGAAGCAAAAAAAATAAAGAACGACGGACTCGGGTGCGTTTTTTTGCATCAGATTTAAATTGCGTATGCAGCTAGGTAGCTATGACACAATATCAGAGAAAAATTCCATAGCAGATATCTCAATTTAAAAGAGGAACACTCATACATTAAAATCTCATTTGCAAGCACCACTACGAAGGCCTACATATCCGTGCCACGACTAAAAAGATGTTTGGTCCGTTCTGTCAAGTTAAAAAATATCAAATTAAAAGACAACCTCAAAGCCATGATGTCCAACATCTAATCATCTCCCGACCATCGATTTACTCTACTGACTTGCTTAATTCAGTGTGACGCAAGATGAGTCGGTTCGAAGAACTCCACCAATATACCAGTCAACATCCTCTCACTGAACTCCGTGCTAAATTCAGACATGATTATGAAAGTTCTGTTAACACAGTGATTGGTAATTTCCTAATGCACAGCAATGACTTCAAAGCTGA